GAAGTAGGTAAAGGTGATTAGAGGAAAAAAAATGCAAAAAAGTTGTCCAGAAAAAGTTTTTCCTCAAGTGATTTTTAGCCCAGCTGGATGATTCACAAGTTCCTAACTGCATCAGAATTACTATTGCTTGGATGGATTAAAATCCTTTCTGCTGTTTCTTCTTAATAAGCATACTCCCAAAGGGGGAAGTCACACTGGGAAAGGGAGGGGAGAAGGCAAGGATATTAAGTATTGCAGTACTATTCCCCCTACCCAGTTAAATTTGGTGTTCCACCAAATCTTCCTCTAAGAACATCATATGTGTGAAATCTTGATTTGTGAAGATGTCAGCTAGAAATAGGAGGCAGCCCCTGAGAGGACACAGTTGTATTACCTCATGTGACTTTCAGTGTGCTGGGGCATACAATAGGCAGCTGTGCTTTAGAAACGGGGAGGAAGCAGAAAGCCTTGGTGTTGCAGAGGTGAGAAAGGTAAGTCTTTTGATCCTTGGGAGGTGGGTTTGGTTACACATTGGCCTTTATGTGACAACCTTAATTTTGTTAATTGCTTATACCTTTTAGGAGCTTTTGTTTCAGAACCATAAGGGTTTCATACAGAATAGTGCCATTTTGGCTTTCATGTTTAAGGCTTCCATTGCAAGCCTGTTGACTAGAAGAAGAATTTACTTAGCTCCTCAGTGTACATCTGGTATGAAACAATTAGATATGCATGATTGCAGAATGTGTATGTGCATGGAACAATGTGTATGTGTGTGGAACAGGCAGCAAGATGAAGCACCTGACAAATCATCAATTCAGAAACATCAATTTTAAAAATAGTTGGAGGAAGCCATCTTCTCACATAACAGATTTAACATGAGATGAAAGTGCAGTTTTACGATTTTGTTCAGGTTCCCCCTGATGAAGTTCAAAAGGAGCAGTAATATCTTTAGTTGGGGAATGGATGTACTACGGTATCAGATAAGCTTTTCTTCAGGGTATAAGCAGAGTCTGTCTATCCAATAGCACCACCAACTCTGGTTACCTGTTCTGTATGCTCACTAGTGAAATAACATGCTATTGTATGTTGTATTCAGTCAGCTCCAGAGTTATGTGCAGGTCAGTATCGCTAGTCATGTCTGATATTTGATTCAGTGTCTAATACCAGGGACGAGTACCTAAACTTCCACTGGACTTCTTGCTCGTGTTGCTTTTTTTCCCCTGAAACTCCGATGGTCATGAACCTGATTTCAGCATCCTCTTTATAACAGCTGTCTTCTTATCTCTCTGTTCTTATTATGTTGCCGTTGCCTTTCTCCCTTATTCTCAAAAGAAAGTATTTTCCAAGCCAAGTCTTTCACTTTTTTAATCCTTTCTCCCCCAGATCTCTTAATCTGATTCTCCTTCAGAACCTTTGCTTTCTTTCATCTGAAACTTGTAAATTAAATATAGAAATTAAATTAAATACATAAATTAAGTACAGCCTTATACTTACCTGTTTCTAACTGCAGGTATTTCTACAATTACTAATGAGGTTATATTAAATAATAATACCTCCTGTGGAAGCTCCCTCTGGCACTGTAAACTAGCTCATTTCCAGCAACTGTTGCATGAAAGTGCTCTGGATTGCTGATTACTTTTGTAATTGATGATTAATTAGAAAACAGATTTCTTGTATCAGGGGATGAATGATCTGGGTGCACTCCCTTCTTAAAGAGTTTTGCTTTTTAGCCAGTAAACAGCAAAGGCGTGCTGGTATTAATGTGGTTGGAGTTCTAAAATTATTTTCATTGAGTGTTTGTTTTACAGTGGTTTTATTTTTATTTCATGGCAAAACTTAAAATATGGCATTTCTAAATCATTTGTAGTTTGGAAAGGACTTTATCTTTAAATACACATTTTTGTGTTTGTGTTTATCTTGGATTCTTAAATTAATGCTTTTTTATTGCAAAGATACTAGTGTGGAGAAAAGCTTTACATTTACTGTACAGCTCTTAAATCCTGAGCTGTAGAATTGCTTGCATTTGCTGCTGAAAATAGAAGAAATGTATTTGTGCACAGAACACTTTTTTCTTAACCTAAATCCAAGAAAAAAATGTATTTGTATCTAAAGACAGAGGAAAAGGTACCTCTATTCCTGTATTCTGTTGGGTTTGGGGGAAGAAAAGGGAAATGGAAGCTTTTGGTGCTTTGGTAAAGGACAACAATCTCCTGTGTTTTCTGTTTATTTAGTCTTTTGAATTTACAGAAGTCTAGAAACTGAACTGTGTAACTAGTTAGGTCAATCCTCAAGAGCATTTCTGTTGATCTGTCTACCCTAGTAGATTCTAGTTCAGGTTGTACACGGGTCTTTAGGTATTTGCTATTGACTGTTTGCTCTCATCGTCAAATGATGTGAAATATGGGTACTTCAAGACGTTCATCTTAGTTGAAACAAGTAAAGTCGGGTTGTTAAATGACAGTTATGCAGATAAAACTCCAGGGAACTATGCTGAAAGTATCAAATTTATTTACTCTTCTTGGTCCTTGTCGGAATTGTTCTGAAATTTTTTTTTTCTGGAGGCTTCATTTCTGAAGGCACATGTGTGAAAATAGACAAGGGCTCATGAATTCTAACTTTAAATTTTTAAAAAATTAAAAACTTTAACAAAAAAAATTGTAAGTAATAAGGTAAACTAGACTGGAGTATCGTGGTTTTGTATAAGCATCTACAGAAAGAAACCCCAGGGTCTTTGTGCAGAATTGACTGGTTTCTACATGAGTGGGTAGTATTTGAAGTGATGTATTCTTCACCTTCAGTTCTGAGAGGTCTTCTCTTAAACTAGGGGAGAAGGCTAAGCTGTTAATTGAACTCCTGCCTTTAGTTCTTGATGGTCTCCTTTTATTTTGCATTTCTAAACAAAAAATGTAATGCAATATTGAGTGTATTTAAATGTCTTTGCACCAAGACAGAATATGGACAAATGTTTGGGTTTGATAAGCATTTTAAAGAATGTGTAAATAAGATTAAATGCTATAAATTATAGGGATATAACAAAAGTGATGGCTTTCAGCTCTGAGACAGACTGATTTCCTTTATCATGTTCCAGCTACACCAGTATTTGTAAAAATACCGTGTGTCAGACATAGGTCAGAATCCTTTTGCATATATATTCAATACTTTTTTGGCAGATTATTCAATTTTGTGTTGTCTCCAAGTGTTCAGGTTCTCCATAGATCTCTTTGATTAAATGCTGAAACAAGTACCACGATTGATAAAATTAATTTTTCTAATCAAATAGAAGAAATACATTCTTGAAACATTTAGACAGTCAGCTGTTTCTGGGAACAGACTACACTTCAAGGTTAATTTCAACCTTTATTTTATTCACTTCTTTTTGCTTACTAGTTTTGATGCTTCTTGGCAAAGATTTAGAGCAACTTCACTGAGTTTCTTTCTTGTTCTGGCTTCTCTGGAGAGTGGAATTTGAGATCACCTGTTATTTGCATGCTGCATTGTTGATGGTTTCATGTGGACTTCATGCTAGTCTGCCACGTTTAACTTCACATTCATTGTTCCCCTTCAGCATGAAATAATCCATTTGTCTGCTTTGCCCCTGCTTCTGGCAAATGGAGGTTGAGTGGGTGGCTGGCTGTTAAAAGGTTGCGTATTTTGTGTACAGGGGACTGTGCATAAGAAAGTTAGTGTGTAGTGTTAGGCTTTAATGGCACTGAAGAGTCACTGCTGCTTAGACTCTGACAAATAGAAATGAAGGAGATGAAATACAGAAGTGCATTTGTGTTGTTTGTTTAGTTAATGTGGAGATGTGGAGGTTTTCTGTATGGATTAATTTTGGTGGACTACTTCCACAGTGCCAGTGCTTTTCGAAGTTACAAATATCTTCATGCAGCTTGAGACTGAGATTATTGCATCTTATTTGGAGTCTCACTTTTATCAGTTGAGATTGTTTCATTGGATTGGGGAGGGGTATTTGGTTTTTCTATAAGGTTGATCACAAAATGTTCTTCTTAAACCAGTGTGTACTTAAAACTATATTTTGTGTTTCTGGGAAGACTGTAATGTTATGTTTGACTTCGTAATAGGCACAGAAAAAGTACGGCAAGCTCAGGACTGCAAGGACCTCCATGTTGTAAATCCCGATTGGCTGTGGAGCTGCCTGGAGCGCTGTTTTTTTTTTTCCCTTGAAGGATGACTACATCAAAACACACAGGTAACTGGGAACCTGGCGAAGCAGGGGCCATGAAAATAGGTTATTCATACAATTACACTAATTTGTTAATGCAGCTATAAAATTGGTTTCTGACATTCAGAATCATAGAATGCTTTGGGTTGGAAGGGACCTTTAGAGGTCATCTAGCCCAACTCCCCTGCAGTGAGCAGGGACAGCTTTAACTGGATCAGGTTGCTCAGAGCCCCATCCAACCTGACCTTGAATGTTTCTAGGGATGGGGCCTCCACTACCTCTCTGGGCAACCTGTTCCAGTGCTTCACCACCCTCATTGTAAAAAAATTTCTTCCTTATATCCAGTCTAAATCAATTCTTCTGTAGTTTAAAACCATTATTCCTTGTCCTGTCACAAGAGGCCTTGCTATGAAGAATGTCCCCATCCTTCCTGTAGGCCCCCTTTTAAGTATTGAAAGGCCACAATAAGGTCTCCCTGCAGCCTTCTCTTCTCCAGGCTGAACAACCTCAACTCCTTCAGCCTGTCCTCGTAGGAGAAGTGTTCCAGCCCTCAGATCATTTTTGTGGCCCTCCTCTGGACCCGCCTCAACAGTTCCATGTTCTTCTAGTGCTGAGGGCTCCAGAGCTGGACGCAGTACTTCAGGGTGAGGTCTCACCAGAGCAGAGTAGAGGGGCAGAATCACCTCCCTCGACCAGCTGGCCACGCTGCTTTTGTTGCAGCCCAGGATATGGCTGGCTTTCTGGGCTGCAAGCACACATTGTTGGCTTATGTCCAGTTTTTCATCCCCCAATACCCCTAAGTCCTTTTCCGCAGGGCTGCTCTCAATGCCTTCGTCTCCCAGCCTGTGTGCAATGCTTACAGATTTTATGAAAGAACCCTCCATTTTTGTCAATTTCTACGCTGCTTAAACTGAAGACTGTTAAGGGATCGGGAGGCAGTTCAGCAGCTAGTAGAATCTGGAGAAACCTGTGGTACTAGTAGTTTCTTTAGCAGTTGTCATGTTAGCCATCTTCAGCTGGAGCAGTTGACCTTGTCGGTTCATCCAGACTAACACAGGGAATGCCACCAAGGCACAGAATCATTCATTCTGCCAAAGGAATTAAAAAATGTACATACTCCCACAACATGGAAAATTGGTTAAGTATGGCATGTTTTTCTGAGACTTGGTAGTGAGGAGGAAGAGAGAAAAGAAAAATACAGCAGAAAAATCTGAGGGGTTGAAAGGCTTGAAGGTAGAAGCAAAAACTGGAAGAAAGGAAGTAGTGAGAGAACAGGATGTTTTTGGCATAAGAAAAAGTGTTGAAGGAGAAAGTGTTAAAAATAATCAGTGCACTAGGATGACAGCAAATAGAAGGGACAGCCAAAAACTTTATTAACACAGAGGAAGTCACAGGTCTATTAAGAACAATCCCCTTTAGGAAAGTGCCCTGGCTAAAATAACTCATGACAAGGTACTGTAGAGCCAGTTTCTGCTCCTTGACTTGTTATCTGTTTGGATAGACTCACATTAATAGCATCTTGCAAGCCTAATGGAGGACCTTGCCTTCTATGTTTAGACAGGAAGGGGCATAGTGTATTGGGTTTTCTGTATTAAACTTGTAGTGATGTGATTGACTGAATAGGCTAGAGATTTGCTTTCTGCTTAAAAAATGCTAGCACTTTGAGGGCAGAATGTGCATGTGTAAAGTCCTCATAGACACCAGAGACACTACAAAAGTAGAAATGGCTGGAAATGAGATCACTTATCAAATGGCAGACTAGGTAGAGACCCAGCATCTCTAAAACTTAGGAAAGAAATTGTTGTGGTTTAGCCCCAACCAGCAGCTAAGCACCACACAGCACTCTCTCAGTCCTCCTGCCCCGGTGGGACGGGGGAGAGAATCGGAAGAATAAACACTTCTGGGTTGAGATAAGAACAGTTTAATAATTGAAGTAAAATAGTAGTACTAGTAATAACAATATAATAATAACAGTAATAATAATATACAAAGCAAGTGATGCACAATGCAGGTGCTCGCCACCCGCCAACTGATACCCAGACAGGCCCTGAGCAGCGATTGCTGCTCCCTGGCCAACTCCCCCCAGCTTATATACTGAGCATGATGTCATATGGTATGGAATAGCCCTTTGGTCAGTTTGGATCAACTCTCCTGGCTGTGCCTGCTCCCAGTTTCTTGTGTACCTGGCAGAGCATGGGAAGCTGAAATGTTTTTGACTAGTGTAAGCACTACCTAGCAACAACTAAAACATCAGTGTGTTATCAACATTATTCTCATACTAAATCCAAAACACAGCACTATACCTGCTACTAGGAAGAAAATTAACTCTATCCCAGCCGAAACCAGGACAGAGATGTAGCCTATTATGGCTTGACTAGAATACTTTGTTTTTAAAAAGTGCTATCAGACTTTTTTAATCAAACTTTGGAATATTAGTATGGGATGTTTAACTTGTCTCAGATGCCTGATACTGCCAAGTTCTCAGTAGAAATCTGGACATCGACTTTTAAGTATCATTTTTTGATGTCTAGATGAGTGTTGGTCTTTCTACCTTTCTTAATTTACTCTCTCATTTTGTTGAAACACAATTATAATTTTTCCTCCTTCTATGTTTCAAATACAGTATACCTTAACTTCATACTTTCCCTCACCCCCCCCAACTTCACTCAATAAGACATCTGTCTTAATGCAAATACTTCTACTTTATTAACCCAACATGTGCGCTTATGAACTAGGTGAGGGATGAACTCTGAGAAAATATTTGCATATAAAATGAGCTTAATAATAGCAGAAAAGAATAAGTATACTTGGAATTGGTTGACCTTATGTATTGATCCTACAAGACTACTTCAGAAACGTCCATGAAAGCGTATGGTAAAAACTCCAGTTTTGTGGCACTTCTAATATTTGTTGCAATATAATTTAATTGTTTTTTTCTGTAGTGTCAGTTTCATGGTGCATAACACGCTGTTTTTATTTGATTTTTTTAAATTATTCAATTTGCTTCCTTTTTTTTGTGGCACTTCGTTATAATTGAATAGTATGCCATAATGGTGATTTCTGCAGACTGATCTCTGAATGTTTCTGCCAATGCTTCTAAAATTTTGTTTTAAAATGCAGCAGGGTGATCATAGGCAGCTTAGTATTTTAACAAATGAGTTTGGATGACTTGCAAATTACTACCGTGTGTTTATTTTCTCTCAGAGCCAAGCTGGATAGCAAATGCTAAGATGTGCTACAACAGCATGCTTTTCTATTTGCTTTTCTCTTTGTTGCACGTATATGCAGGTTATTGTGCTACTCTAGTTGTGCAGTTTTTACTACCTGGAAGCAATTTCAGTAACTTTGAATGTTAAGAAACTTTTTAAAGCACACTTAATTTTTTAATAATGTAAATATGACATTTTCTGTGTCTTTGCATTTTTCTGTTTTAAATTTAGTGAGACTTTAATGGGCGTGAAGGAGAAGAAATGTTTCTTCAGAAATCTTCCGAACCATTTTTTTCCCCACTTTCTCCTTTGGAAAAAAGGAATGCTCATTTTTTACATTCTGGTTAGATAGCTTATTTAAATTTCTAACACAATTTTTTCTGAACTTCATCCAACAGAGAGAACAGCCCTGCCACGTTTCCTGATACACACAGCACATTTCAGACAGCTTTGTTTCACCCAACACCTATCCATCCAAAGTCTCAACCTGGTCCTGAAGTTCGGCTTTATGATCCTAACACTGGAAAGCTAATCAGGAAAGGTGCTCAGACCTCTGGCCAGTCGATGTACATCCAGTCTCCAGCTCCTCCCATCACCTTACCAGTCCACGGCGAACACTCATCCTTCAGGTACCTAAAGCATAGCTAAGAGTCACTTCAACTATCTTTTCAGATGCTGTAGTAAATTTAACTCTTGTTATCTTTGCATTTGATCAAATTGTTATCCTTGCTCTACTTTGCTTCCTAAAAAGCCAAGGAAATGAGTGAATTGTTAACTGAAGTGAAATCGGGATGCTCTAATTCCAGATGCTTTTTGTGCCTCACTTAAGTGCAACTAGAAACCTCAAAACGAATAAATGCAGTGTGTAGTTTATGCACTAAAGAATATTAGAATAGGCTGCCTCACTTCAGTGATGAGTTAATGTTTTTTAATGAGTCTTAGAATACTGGATTGTTTTTTTGTCTATAAAATATCTGATAGCATTTGGCTTTTGTTTATAAAATTTTCCTCTTCACCTAATTCCTTAGCATGGGACACTAGCTTTCTGTTTTGTTTTGAGGAATATCAGAAGTGGTGGAAGAGGCGTGTAGCTAACTGAGTATTACTGAATAAGGCCCTATGACTGAGTGCTAGTTAATAATCCTTAGATCACTAAATCAAGATACTAAAGCAGCGGGAGGAAGAAGAGGTAGCCTGCTTTTTGAAGGACAAAGGCTAGCACCTGGACTTTGTCAAAATTTGTGGATTTGGTTAAGCTACAAAAACAACAGTTGTCTCTTAAGGATGCATAAAATACCTGAAGTTCATCCCCAAGTAGCTATGTAAAAAATTTAACTTTCTAGAATGCTAACAAGTTTAGCAAGGCTTGTTGACTTCGGTGGTAAAGAAGTATCCAGTTGAAGGCAAAGCTTTTCTCTTTGTAATATGTGATCAGAGTTCCTTTGTACAATGTGAACAGAGTATAGCAGTTGTTAGAAAGCAATTCCATTTTCCAAGCAACTACAAAAATACAAAGCACAATTATAGATGCACACAGTTTTCTCCCTTTCTTCTCCCTCCCCTGCCACTTTTACAGTGTATCACTTGTAATGGTTTTGTATGTTAGTGTAGCTTGTTATGTTGCTACTGTCTTCCTGTTGCTAAATTATTTCAACCTATTTTTTTTCAATTGTCATCTTTTTATAGGCTTTTTCTTATTTCAGCTTCCTTGTTTCTGTCAATACGGGTTTTTTGAGTCTCTTGCTTGTGAAGACACCTTGTTTTCAGTTCCTTTTTAACTGTGTCTTTAAAGTATGTATTTTACTTTACTGTGACATGTTAAATGAACAGGAAAAACTTTAATCAAGACGCAGCATGTATCCAGAGGAGCTGAAAGGCTTTTGGTTTTGTTTGTCAGTTATTGTTGAAAGGAATTTGTCTAGAAATAGAGCTGGGAATCTTGTGTGTGTATATAATTGTCATGACACTTCTAAGATGCTTCAATACGATGGTTTATATTGATACTAATGCATCATTCAGTGCTTTTAAAAGAAATAGGTTTTGATGTTTGTTCTACCTTCATCAGCAACTTAAGAGTGATGTCCACACCTAAGCCTATTTTTCTTTAATGCAGAGGTGCTTCTTCACTTGAACATCTTGCAGAAAAGAAGAGAAACTCTTAGTTGAGTTTCTGAGAGGCCCAGACAGGTTTTGGGGGTGGAGTGAGGCTGTATCTACTTTCTACTCTCATTTTATTTCACTCTAAGCATTTTTTTGACTATCAATGCTCAGGGTTGAGATGCTTTAAACCTAGGAAAGTTAATCCAATTACTCACTGCTGCAACTTCACCTCATAACTAAGCAGCTGTAGGAAAAGAGATTAGCATAAGATATATGCTAGGAAACAGTATTTTCGTCATCATTTCCTGTTGATTCGGTTCTAGTGGTAAAATTAGTGACCTGTAAACACTGATCTCTTAATTGGGGCATGTCTATATTCTTCAGAGCAGTTCTGCTGTCTTCAATTAAGATGGTGAGGAGTGTCTTAGTAAAGTCTAGGAGGAAAACAGTGCAGTGATCAAATACCACTTTAAGTACTTTTAATGGATAGGAAGTACAGTGCAGGCAGAGCATGAAGGCTGTAAAGAAGTAACAAAAAGCTGAATAGGAACAGCTTTGCTGTGTTTTGACTGAGCAAGAGCTGAGGTAGAAGTACTGTATCATCGCTTTGCTTTATCTTAATGCATACATCAATGATAGCTTTTAAAAAAAGCTTCACATATATTTTAAAAACTGATGTGATACTTGACTTTAGAGAAAGTGACCTTAGTGCAGTGATTTCTTGGTAGAGGGCAATGTATTTTGTGTCCTAACAGACCATGTGCTCATATGTTCACCTTCTACAGAAAGATGAGAGTATTTGTAACTAAGCCATTGAATTTAAGCAGAGTTAGATAAAGCTGTTAACACTCACAACTGTTCCTGTTCTGGGTCGATGTAGTCAAAGCCTCCAATAATCTTCTTTGATAGTTTCTAAAAACTTTCTGAATTTCAGACAGTATGCAACAAAATTGCAGTGCTGTGAGAGGAAACCCCTAGGGAGATGGTAGCCACATGTGGTATAGGAATAGTACTCAGTCTCTTACTGTGAGAATAGACCTTAGAAGATAACCTCTTGCAAGGCTGGTTACTGAAAAGGGTTTCAAGTTATCCGAGTACCATTTCATAAGAACTGTTTCAGTTCTCTTTATTTTTTATTTTGGGTTCATCATTTTTAGTTTCTTTCTGGGATTCAACCTGAAACAATTTAAAATAGGATATGATTAGCTTAAATATCTACACGCAATTTGCAGTGAAACTGTCACCAGTGAATTACAGATGGTTCGGTTAATTTGGTCAAAGTTTCGTGTGACAGGCATAGATCTTGCTGCTGTGCTCAGCTCTGTGAGAACTGAACACCTGCTTTTTGTCACAGGTGTTGCAGCCTGAGGTGACAAAGGGTTTGCAGCTGTACTAGAAGGGAAGGGAATGCAGTGCTGCTTGGTGGCTGCTGGTGGCCAGCAGGAGCTCTTCTCTGTCTGAGAACAGGAAGGATTCCTCTTTCAAAATAACCTGCATGTCAGAGCTTTGACAGTCTGTATGTATCGCAACAATTTGCATTTTCATATGGAAACAGTATTCTACAAATATTACAGTAAGCACTGAAGTTGTAACAGGTCATGGGATGTGTAATGTAGTGTTCAAAAAAAAGTGCAAATGCTAATGGCATCTTGAACTAGAACAAAGAAAAATAATATTATGAGTTAAATTATAGTGAATGCTAATAACACACTAACACATGAAGCAAGGCTTAAAATATGGATATAACTTACATGTGAGAAGTTAAAAGTGGCACTCTGGTTTTAAATAATGCTGAGATGCACCAAATGGTTTGAAAAGGTGTGTCAAGCAGATGTTGGTGGCTGAAGCAATTCTTTAAGATTCATACAGATTAATTTCACTTATAAAAAATTTTGTGTCTTAATTTTCATGCTCATTGTTACAATTTTCCCTATCTAATGTGATCAGTCTTGTTAGGACAAAAAATTTGAAGTACCAAATTGAAATCATCAATGGAATTTATTTTTAACATTTTCTATCTGATAATGCTACTTTAGCTTTTGCCCTGATGCTGTATCAATGAAAGTGTTAAGATGCTTGTTACTTCCACATATGTTGAACCCACCCTGTATGCGGTGAGTTCTAGCACATGTGCATGTCCTTGTGCGTGTAAGACTGGCAAACGCCAGCCAACCTGTGCAGGGTTGAATATGGTGTTAGTTTTGAAAAAGTACTCATGAATCTCATCTGATGAGAAATAAATGTAAATTCTTGCATTTGTATGTCTTTAAATTTTAATCAACGTAACAAGCAGCTGAAAATGTAAAGTCTGAAAAATGATAAAATAAAAATGTTTATTACAAACCCTAAAGAAGTCTTTGTTTTATATTGCTTTTTGGAATGCTTTGGTGAGAAGTGCCAGTGTTTCTTATCTAGTAGCAGTTGGAAAATACTGGGGGGGGGGGAATCTGACAAAAGCCTTTAGAAGCTGTTAATACAGTTATTTTACAGTTAATATTTGTGTATAATGTGGTCAAGGATGATCTTACGTTTTATTCTTGGGGAGGGTGTTTAGTTTTTTTAACAATGATGGAGTCTTCAAGACTAACCTGAGACTTGTAATATTTCTGCATATTAATCCTTCGGAGTAAAGAAGTTCATAGCTATGCCTAGTCTTGGATGCAGTATCTCCAGAATTAAACTGTCAATACAGTTATTTAATAATGATGCAAAATAATTCCTGCCACTGGTTGAGGTGAGGGTGATGTTCTATAGTGTTCAAATAAAGAATATAAATAAGAATACAATGATACAGAAGCTGCAAAAGGAAGAGTTCTCACTGTCATCAGTATGATAACATGTTCTTAAATATACTAGATTTACTAGTCCAAGAAAATCTGCTTGGCTGCCTGCTACATATAACTTGTGTATAATTCTTGGCATGGTCAAGCTTATAATGTTTTTAATGCAGTTGTGTAAGATGCTTATACCTTTTGTTTTGTCATTCTCTGTTTTACTAAGAATGTAAATAGCATCACCACCTTTCTCTTGGCTGGGTTACCTATTAAAAAGACATGGAAATCATATTTTAAAAGATCTTTTTGGAAAATATAATGGAATGCTGTATTTTTTTCCCTCTGTTACCTATGAAAATTATTGTCTGAGAGGAGCTTAATAGCAAAAGAAAACTGTGCAGTCTTGTAAAATAGAAAAAATTTAGTGGAGGGAAAAGAACCCAAAACAACTCTTAAGCTGTGATGAAAATCTCTAACAGAAAAACAATTTGGTTAGTTCATTTCCATAACATCTAAATCAATGTTTTGGCTTCATAGGAAATTCCAGTGTGCAGAAATGACAGACTTCAAAGGGGAATATTTCTGCTCTGTTGCTGAGTAGTGGTGAGCTGATGGGGGGTCTTCTGCAGCAGGTAGTTCTGGGTAGCACAGCAATGGCTTGGCTTTCTTCGGCTGCCACCCCCAATTCAAAAAACGAATTTGCATATCCTGCACCTATCCATGGGATCTGAGAGGAGAGAGATGTGTATTTAGGAAAAAACAGCCCTCAAAATGAGCTCGATTGACAGCTTCGTGTGGCTTTTAGATTTCATACATTCTGGGATTGAAGTACTGATGTACAAAAAAAATCTTGATATTTAGATGGCCTTCTTAAGAAGCTGTCAAGTTCATGAGAAGAGGAATGATTTTGTAGAACCTTATCTGTGACTGGATTTACATAGTTTAATGATGGCTTTTCTGGGTGCAGCTGCTTATCTAAAGCTGTTTCTTGAAAAGCCAGGCTTGACAAGAAGCAGCCATCCTGTGCTGAAACTCTTGTCAGCAGTGACCACACTGTACCCTTTCTTCATCACCACTACCCTCAGAAACAGCTTGATGATGTCTCACCTGGTAGTTACAACTTGAAACAGCTTGTGATTTCAAATGTGGTTGCTTTTGTACTTGCTTGTGGTAATCACTCTTCACACACAAATCCTGTGACTAAGATAAATAAGTTGTGATCCATGAGCTTTATGACCTGAGATCTTTGAATAGGATTCAGGTTGATGCTGAGCTGCTGTAATGTGTTCCAGGAGGCTAGTGTGACAGCCCAATATTCACAGTTAAACTGTATTGTGTAGTGGTTTTAGCTTCTCCAAGTCTTTAATAGTTAAGTAATATTCACAGGGAAAAAAGTTACCCAAGAAAGGTAGAGGTCTCCTGCTGTTGTTCTAGATGCAGTCTGTCTTCATTAGTATTATAAAGCAATTCCCATGAAGTTAGATTGTTTTATCCATTTTTATTAACATTTTGACATTTCTTTCTGTATCTGTGTGTTCTGGTTAATTACAGTAACTAACAAGGTAATAAAATACAAACTGAGAGAAAATGCTACCATATTTAAATACACTAGCCCAAAAGAAATATGGTCTGTTTTGCATCTCATCCAGGCTTAGCATCTGGGAAATGCTTGAAGATTGAGGCTGCAAAAATGAGCTTTTTACTTGCAAACCTCTTGTCTGTGAGGTTGAGAAATAAAAAGGTATATTTTGAGACTCAAGAATACAAGCATAACATGGATCAGGAAAAATGTATTAGAATGTAAGGTGTAAAAGAATGATACACCACTGAAACTGTGATGTAAAAGAACAAATGCATCAAGTAACAGGCGAACTCCACTTGAGCACAACCCTTAAAATACTTTAAGGGCAATGTGTCTGCAGCTACTGGAAGTCTTGGCTTCAAGAAGGGTTTGATGGTTACTTACAAGAACAATGGGAAGGCAGGAGAGCGAGTACCTTGTCAAAGGCAGAATAAGAACTTAAGCCATCAGACTGGAAAAAAAAAACAATTGTTGGGAGACTTGATCTTTCTTCTGTTGATGAACACAGAACTCTATTAACCAAAGTCATAGATGTTCAGCAGTCATAAATTGTTTATAGGGTTTTATTTCTAGACAAGCTGTAAATCAAGTAAATCTTTCTTATGTGGGACCCCTGAAATTTTTCAGAGTTGTTCAACCACATCAGCAGCAGATGTTCGAAGAAGACCTACCAGCGAGTGAAAATGAAGAGCAGCCTGGTCCATCTAAGCGGAAACGCCAGCCAAGTATGTCTGAGACAATGCCCCTGTACACCCTATGTAAAGAGGATTTAGAGAGTATGGATAAAGAGGTGAGCTTAACTAATTCTGACAGGTTTCTAACATAATGATTGTTAGTTATGCATAACAGTTTTAACTTCTGTTAAATTATGCATCTATGTGAACTGACCTTGTATGCCACTACAGCAACTCGAAATAAAAAGTAAATCTTCACGTGATCTGGACAAAATCAGTGGTGGGATGGGAGAAGAGAGGTCTGTGAATGTAAAAGGCACAGGCTGTAGAGAAGATCAGAGAGCCAAAGGGGAGCATGGGGCCTCATTATCTGTAGATGTGTAATTGCAGTGCTGTTAAATCATAGCTATCACGGTTCTGCAGATGAAGGGAGCTTTCTGTTAGAGTGAACTCTACGTTTTTCATACAAAAACATGGCTTTTGAAATTCATTGTGAACCCCTAGCAGCTGCTTCTTTTTTACTTATCCTTGTGTGTGCTTTCTTTAAATGAGCCACTATTTTACATAATACTGAATGACATATAGAGGAAAAACTACCTATCATTCCACACCGTGTTTTCATGAATTTATTACACTGTCTGTGCCTTTACTATAAAACCTAGTGACCTTGGAGCTTAAACTCATCTTTGGGCTTAGATTATTCACTGGGCTGGGGACAGGAGTGTATAACTCGCCAGCTTCTGGCAATAAGTTGATTACAAGGTTCTAGCCATAACAGACCTCAAGAGTTATCTTCAGAAAATATAATAACAGCGTGGAAAGAAGGAAAGTGTGTATTTCACCAAGGAAAGAATGAGTTTATGTATACAGCATAGTATAATTTTGATATATGTAGAAGGGTCCTGGAGGAACTTTGAGCTCGTATTCTAGGAAAAGGTCCAACAATTTTCAACCACTGTGATGATCTAATCTGAATTTTAGATAAGCACAAGCTTTTAACTTTACCTGGTAACTCAGAGTTGATGACTTCTGATTTATTTTGCTTTTTGTTCCAAAGTATTTTGCCCATTTGATCTCAGACTTTCACAGAGAATAGTATTTCTTCTTGTGATGATGCCAGTCCCTGAATCCATCTGTCTCTTCCTTCTGTGTTGTCAGTGGTACTTAAAGCAAATTGTTATTATGTGTTGGTTTTATGTTTTGGTGTACTAACATTTTTCTAATGATGTGGCTTTTAGAAAATATTAATGAATTGCTTTTGTAATGTGTGCACCGTGCCAAAAGAAAGTGTGCATGTTTTCCAGAATTACTGCATAAAATATTTATTGTTCTGTTTTTAAAGATACTAGATACTATTTAGGGACCTTGTTAAAAATCTGAATCTTCTGGCACTGTTCGTTTTGTGATTGATTGCTCTCTATGCTGCTACAGTTAGACCAAAGAAATTGAAGGTTTTCTACCTATCCTACAAATATAAACATCTTAAATTGCAGTTATTTGTTTTTAAATTTTGTTTTACTCAAACAGCACATTTTGTTTAGAAACTAGACTACATGAACTTCAGAACAAGTGAAGCCCAAATCCCAATGGATTTTTTTTTCATAGTTGACTTAGCTTTGGTTCCAAGGGTATGATTTGAGGTTTTCCAAAAGGTTTCCCTTCTACCAGTCTCTGTTCCCACCCCGTCTTATTAAATTTACATTTCTCTGATTCTCAGGTGGCTGAACCAGTAGAAACTCTTCATTTGTTTTTTGTGGGGGGTGTATGTTTTGGTTTTGTTTGGTGGGGAAGGGGGGTGGGAGTTTCTGGTATTGTAGCTCCCCAACATGGTTTGATCAAGGATCAAACATTAGCACTGATGTGGAAAAGGGGGCACAGAGGACGTATATTGGGGAGGTTGAACTGGATGTGGTAGTGCCAGCAGGTCATCATCTCCTGGCAGCTGACTATAGAGACAGCCAAGGGAGACTAACCTTTGTGGACTAGCCTTGTGACTGCTAGCATCACCTTGGTAAAGATAAGGTATTCATGTACAAGAAATGTAATATAAGTAATAAAACAGGATTTTATGGGATTGTGTGGGAGTACATTTATGGGGGAGGACATGCGGTAACATAGTCCATAAATTATAAAAGTTTAGCGGAGCATACACAGGAGATTCTGCTGTCAGGAACATTATCAAATAAAGTGAAAATAAGCTTGCTAAGCATTGCCTGTTGCTGCTCAGTTTACTCTGATGACACTGACTGGTTTGACTTCCACAGAAATGTGTTTGCTGCCATCTCATTCTTTATCAAAACATGTTAAAAGGGTAAGAACCTTTCTTCAGTCATGTCATTAAGAGGTGTGAAATTCCTGTTTTCTACCACAAAAATGCTTTTGCTTCATTTGTATCCATTCTAGTGGCTAAAACAACAGGCGCCCCCCCCAGCCACAAGATCTACAGCTGATTGCAGGCCACCTTGGTGGAGCAATGGAGTCTGTTTCAGTCACAATGGTGATGTCTTGTTCCACAACTACAAGTGCTAATGTTGAGACTGTTGGGGTTAGGAGTACGTGGTCCAAGAAGAGTGAAAGCAAGTTACGATGTGACTTTGCTGCAGTGTAAGCCAACCCACGTCTCAATTGCTGTGTTCCTGCCCCTGAGCCACTGTTGATAATCATGGGACCATACAGCAAGACAGTTCAGGGAGCTGGTTTGGTCAGCAAAGATCACTTTCCAGCTTAATCTTCATCATTACCAGCTTCCTGAAATAACTCACAATTGCCACTGCACGAGTGCTAGTGCCAGGAGCAGGCAGAAGATGGGAAGAGCTGGGAATGATCAGTGAAGGCAGAACTGCAGTCCTCTAGCTTTAGAACTGTATCCTCAGTATTTCAGCTGAATTCCCTGGCAAATTCAGATAAGGATTTTTGCTAGATCAAAAGGAGTATGTTAGCTTTAGGCACTGGGACTTTTTTCAATGAAATTAAATAAGAAATACAAGCATTTATAGATACTGTTTCTGTGGACATAACAAGCAATAAACAACTTGTTTGTGCTTAACATTGAAAGGAATTCTTGCTTTTTCTTTGCAAAAATCTCTGAAAAGGCCACACAGCCCCAAGTAATACAGAACTTCCATGTAGTTTATACATGGGAGAGTTTCATTAGAAGAATCAAGATGGAAGCCAATAAAGAGAATTTAATTATGACTTATTCTCAAATTAAATCCCTCTCCATCCTTAACCTATTTAAACATGTTTGTCGCTTTTCCTAGCAAAAAAGCAGTATCTGTTCCAATATTCCATGGGGAAGAACTGCCATGGATAGGCATCTCTACTAAAAATTGATCTTATGTGGATTTTTATAATCTCTTATTATTTTAGCTGTAGTTGTGCTATAGATGCCAAATAGTCAAAGAAAATGAATAGCATCCCAGCTTTTGGGTTGTGGCTTAAGGTCACTTAGCCTTTTGTACCTTTTTCAGTGCCAAAGATCTGGGAGACCAGATCCAATGGTAGCTTCTTTTCTCTCTGACATGCAGGACTGTTTGAACTTTAGGAAAGTGGAAGAACAAGAGTATTCAATGTAATAGGATTGCCATTTGAAGGACAATTGCCAAATCAGAATAAGTGCATAAGGAATGGATCCCTACTTGGGAAATATACAGCCTGCTAATGCTGCTGACTCACAGCTGAGCAAACATTTTCCCCCTTTCTTTTCTGTGCTACTAGACGCAGATGCTTTGCAACTGGTTGCTGCTGTTTGCTATGGAATGGTAAAGGGAAGCAGAATTAAATGCTGCCAGTTAAATTAGCTTGTTTATAGTAATTTTTAAAGGCCTGGATAAATTTTTTCTAACTAACTGGTTATCTGATATATAATGTGCAAAATGCTACTCCATAAAAATGTTGTTTATATCAGATTGTATCTAGTATGCTGTAATCTTCATGGTACGTTGCTGGTTTCACTAAAGGGCAAGGATTGAAAACCATCTTTAAAGAGGAGGTTTCCAAACAATTAAATACAGTCAATAATAACTAACTAAAAATATCTCTTGTCCATAATACCTGTTCCAGGATGACTTTTGTTTTCTCAAAACCAATAATCTCTCTCACAGGGAAGGTATCTTCTTTTCATTCATTGTGTTGGAAAGTAAATGTAGCAGAAGCCTCTCCCGTAGGGAGAGCGAGCTGGGCTGTCTGCAGCTCTTCCCATCCTCCATTACAGCAGGGGTCCACTTGCCCACCTGCTTACCATAGAGGTACAGGACCGTTGCTTCCATGCTTTTGGTGTGATTGTGTGGAGTCATCATCCTTCCCCTGGGCTAGGTGGAAGTTGCTGACCTACCAGTCACTACAATGTTGTACAGATCTGCTGTGGTTTACTGACAAAAAACAGAAAGTGGAATCCAAGCTTCAAATGACTCTATTCATTTCCAGAAATAATATTTATTAGCTAAAGCAAGTTGTACAAAGGAAAGTAATGGCATACAAATCATGTGAAGACATACGCATGTCTTTCCATTCATAACTGATTACCCCAGTACAGGGTGACGTGCAGTTCTCTTTCCCAGAGGTTACTCATGGATTGTACTGTGAGGATGTTTCCTCAGAATTCATTGAGAACAGCTCCTGTGAACTTCTAGCATATTGATTCCTTTCTAGACTGATACAATTGCTTACATGTTTAAAGAAGGCCAGCAAAAATCACCTATGACCAATATTTAATAAATTCTGTTAGTCTTGCTGATTTGGAAATTGTTTTTATTTCATTTAAGCTATTGTTTATTCCTTTTTATTAAGGATGGTTTTATTTTGAATTTGTATTCCTAAATGATATTTGGAAAGAACCTTATGCAACTGGGCTAATATCATGTACAGTTACCTAGTCAAGTTGGTCTAATCTTAACACTGTTGTGTCCTATGTGCTATAAATAAGCTGTGTATGTTTTTACATGCTAATTGCTTCCTGATGGACCTTGAGTTTGCTTTTCTGTAAAATTTATTCTTTCTTTGTGGATAAATGTTGCAGATCCAAAAGGTGATTTTTAGCCCCATGCGTTGTGCTAACTTCTTCTAAAAATGTTTAATTGAATCAGCTTTATATAATCTTAAAGATTTTCCCTTTTCA